TCTCTCTCTCGCTCTCTATCCGTGTGTGTGTCTCTCTCGCTCTCTATCCCTGTGTCTCTCTCTCTCTCTATCCCTGTGTATGTCTCTCTCTCGCTCTCTATCCCTGTGTGTGTGTGTCTCTCTCTATCACTACGTGTGTGTGTCTCTCTCTCTATCCCTATGTCTGTGTCTCTCTCTCCATCTCTCTGTCCCCGTGTATCTCCTGCTCCCCACCTCTTCATGCCTGTCTAACTTTTTTCACTCTCCCCACCTCTCTATTCCCGTGTTTCTCTCTCTTCCCATCTCTATCCATGCGTGCATGTTTTTCTCACCGAGGATCCGACATCTTCCAACCGTTGCACTACCGTTTGCGGTCTCCACTCCCATTGGCCAGTTTGAATTCAAACTGCGTGCCGTTCCGGCTGCCGCGCACGCGTATCTCAATCCATCGCGCGACCCATCATGGGAATTGTAGTTGTTTGTCGGGCTCAATGGTCATAGACTACCTAAATAATTAGGTGAGACAGCTTCTACAGATAGACAACAGTGATGTGCTCAGATTAAATGCAACTAAACGGTCATCAACCTGAAATGTTAGATAACAAGGTGTAGAGCTAGATGAACACAGCAGGCCAAGCAGTATCAGAGGAGCAGGAATGAAATGTTAATTCTGTTTCTTTCCACAGAAGCTGGCTAACCTGCTGCGTCCTGTTTCTGCATGGGAGCAAATTACTGCAGATGCTAGACTCTGTACTGAAAACAAAAATGCAGGAAATCACAGCAAGTCAGGCAGCATCCACGGAGAGCAAACTAACGTTCACCATCTAGATGTTTCTTCTGATGAAGACTCGATGTTTTAGCATCATTTTCTCATTGCCAGGATCCGCAACTGCAACTGACGAAGGGTGTCTGGGAAGGCTGTTTCTGTCTCCACGGGTGCTGCCAGACCTGCTGAGTTTTTTCAGCAATTTCTGTTTTTGTTTCAGATGTCCAGCGTCCATTTTTTGTTTTTGTTCAATCTGATCTCTTGTATTAGCCCTAATTGTTCAAGCTGCTCTTTTTCTCATACGAGGCTGGGTATTACCTCAAGGTCTCTTTTGAGTAGTGCCCAAAACTACATGCAACTTCAACAATCTGTTTTAACAGATTCACCAGTATTACGATGGTTCTTTTTCTAAAGGTTTTAAACACACTTAGTACTACTTACAATGTCTTGCAATGGTGATATCATAAATCTGTGTTCTTCTAAATCCAACTAACCCCTTGAACAATCAGAATCTCTTGTAGTTTGTAGGTGTTTCTACTTCCATTGTTTTTCTGCCTTGATTTCTCCCTGATCCTGCTCATCCCTTTTCTCTCAATTACCAAAATTACCCCACCCATCCCAACATTTTTACTCCAATTAAGTATTGTCCTTAGTCTTGGCACCCCTTCTGTAATATAAATGAAATGTAACTAATATAGCTAAACCTTCAGTATCCAGTAAGTGCAGAGCTCTCCTGTCAGTGGATATACACAAGTAATATGATATTTTGCATGGTCAAAAATGAGTCTTTAATTCTCTCCAATTTCATATAATGTTACCAAGAAAATGTAAGTGACCAACCCTCAACTGCTTGCCAAATCAAATCAGTTAAGATCCTTCCAGTTGCTTCATAACACAACTTTGGGGAGATTTAATTTAGCTCAATGTAAACTGAGGTAATTTTCCCTTCCTTAGGGAAATACCATTTCTCTACTTGGTGCTTCCCCAATTGAGAACAGGAGCTTTCCTGTGGAAGATATATGAAACAGACAGACAATGTATTAATCACACAGCCTCACATCCAAACCCGAATTCAGTACTTCACTTGGACTTAGCTGCAACCTTACTGATTACATTAATCTAGTTTAATATCCCAAAATTAATGATTTGTTCACTTTGCCCCTCAGTTAATGGGGCAGTTACAGATTTATAGTCGACTGCATTATCATGAACAACATTAACTTTGGAAATGAAAACAGCAAATATCATCTGTAATACCATTTTATTTACATAATTATTTCTACACAAAGCTTCATAATCACCTTATGTAGAACATCTGATCCACATAAATAAGTTCTCTTCATAGTTTAACAAATGAAGTTCTAGGTATTGAAACATCTAATATATAAAGCTGTAGCAAAGCCTTCATATGTTATAGTTACAATCAGAAATATAGACACTAGTTTCCCAACAGTTACAGTACAAGTAACATCCTGGAATATCCAGGACACAGGATCTGTGATGGATCACAGGTGCTCTCCTATGGTTTTGGTTGGGGTTCATTGTTAGATTAATGTAAAAGTGTAAGCTAGAGGACTCATTATGATTCAAGTCTCAACATACTACAAATTCAGGAACAAAATAAGTGTCTCAGCAATGCTGTAGAGGCGATCACAATTGTTTCATGAAATTATGCAACAGGACACTTGTTTCAAGGTGAAAATCACACTACCATGTTCAGTTCCAGGGCAAAAAAGCTACAGACTAAATATTCATCTACACTGTTCCTGTCAAAAATTCCCAGGACAGGTGCATCATGGGGTTAGGACAGAGTAAAGCTCCATTTACACTGCCCAAAGATACCCTTTATGGTCAAATGTAAAGAAATGTTCAAATAATTAATCAGAGCCAAAGTTAAGGTCTGTTGGCAATTGAGGACTCAGAGGCCACCGAGACATGTAGGTTATATAAGTGGGCCAAAGTGGCAGATGGCAATATTACGTGGACCATTAAGATCTTTTTAACTTTGGTAGTCAGAATGGAAAAGCAGGATTTTTCTTCTGAAGGTGTTAAACCTGAGAAAGCTGGTGTTTAGAAGGGTCATGCTTGCACTCATACAAGGAAACAGAGATAACTCAAAAGGTGAAGCAAGTAATCATGCTTCCAAATGGCATATTGGCCCTTATTTCAAGGTAATTGAAGAATAAGGGAATCTTGGTGCAATTGAAACTGGATGGTTAGTGCGTGGTTTGGAAAAATGCCAACAACACAGGTTTGGTTCTCATTTGGCTGAAGTAGACTTAAGAACTGCCTCCCCAAAAAACAGAATGCAGTGGCAAACAACCACTTTTTTTCTCCTTCAGGGAGAAAAAAAACTGGCTCGCAATGAAGTGTCAATAGAGAACGAACAGAGGACACGCCTTCAAACAGAACACTCACGCAGCACAGCAGTACAATTCTACAGGGGTTTAATGAGATACAGTGTGCAGTTATAGTCTCCATCTTTGAAGAGTACATTTTCATTGGAAGTGAAAATACCACCTTGGGGACTGTCCGTGTAGAGTCTGCAAATTTTCCCAGTGTCTGTGCGGATTTCCTCCAGGCGCTCTAGTTTCCTCCACAATCCAAAAACATGCTGGTTAGGTGAACTGGCCATGCTAAATTGCCCATCGTGTCCAGGAATATGCAGGCAAGGTGGATTAGCCATGGGAAATGCAGTGTTACAGACACAGGGGTGGGAGGGTGGGACATTCTTTGGAGGGTCGTGTGGACTCAATGGGCTAAATGGCCTGCTTCCACGCTGTAGGGATTCTATGATGCAGTGAAGGCTGGAGTGGTTTTTAGGATGAAAGACAAGAGGCTGAGAAAATTGGGCCTATACTTTCATGAATTGAAAAGAAGGACAGGTGATCTCATTGAAACGCAAGATTCCAAAGCAAATTAACTGGGTAGCCACACAGGCAGAGAATCTACAACATGGGCACATTATCGAAATAAAGATTCGACCATTTAGACCATACAAATATATGAACAGGACACTTGAACCCGCTTCGCCGTTCAAACAAAGTTCCATTGTTGAATATTTTGAAGAAACAGATTGATTTTTGGTCTCAGTGAAGTATGGGTAACGGGCAGTATAACTAAAGTGATAATTAGCCATGAATACGTAGATGGACAAACAGGCTGAAGGGGCCTAATGGCCCACTCCTGTTACTGTTTCTGAGGTTCTTAATTAACACACACAAGTTGACTGATAGTAATGTAGCCATTTCTAATTATTAGATGTCCCTTGATGGTGTTGTACTGAGCTTTGTCCATCCCCCACCTAACTGATTTTAAGACTGCAATTGTCACTAAAATGGCTGCAATCTCCTCATTGATTCCACTCACAGTGCACCATGGGGCTCCCACCAGCATCTGCATTGACAGATTCTCCCAAATTTTCAACCTGTATCACCTATAAGGTCAAGGTCAGCAGATACCTTCAAGTTCCTCTAAGTCACACCCATCCAGACTTGGAATGATATTGTCATCCTTTCACTATTGCTCGGTAGAACTCCTGAAACTCCCTCCCCAACAGCACTATGGTTGTCCATTCAACACTTGCACTGCAGCAGTTCATAAAAACAGCTCACTTCCAACTTCTTACGGGCAATTAGAGAGACTACAAATGCTGACCTTTCAAGGATATAATCATCCCCAAAATAAAGTAACATACTTTCTAAACTAAAATTATGGAATTAAAGAGAAAAAAATGTAAAATAACAAATTCTCCTTTTAGAATAAATACATTGTTTAACGACTTTTCTACAAAGTTCTTATGGCTCATGAACTTGCACTGATTGTGCACAGTGATGGCTTGCATAGAGGCCACACGGTGGTGAATGTGACCTCACAAGGTGGAACTACATTGAAGCACATGGGAATCACGTTTGTGCTTAACCTGCTACTGAGGTCATAATTTAAAAGATACCACAAAGTTCCAGAACATTTATTATTTATAGTGCCAGAGCATTTATTTGGATGATAAATGTGAAAAATAGAAAAGTACTGCTGTAGAATATTCAGCAAAAGGAATCTCTGCAGTGGTGGATGGAACAAGATCATTAATATAGATATCTGACCAGGTTACCTGCATGACAACTCAATTTTCACAAGTGTCAATCGAATAGGAGTGCAAGTCTTCAATGTTTTCAAAGACCCAGTTCTGAACGAAGTGTCATGTTTTGGTCCTTGTGCCTCAAATGTCTAAAATTTTGATTGCTATCACATCTGAACACTTCAAAGATCAACTTGCCTCATGTGTGATCGCCTCTACAGTACAGAACACCAAACAATCCCAAATAAATCACACAAAACTAACATGCAAATGTGGAGCTTAAACTCACCAATCTTAAACCCTCCTCCCTTCAACAAAATCAAATCTGATAGACTCTTGGGGTGCAGGGGCAGGAGTACAGGCATAGACTCAAACCAAATAAGCAGAAGTACTTCAGATAGAATATCATCCATTAAAATAATTTAGATATATAGAGATTATGTTGGTTATTAGATAATTGTTACTTCCCTGTGCAATCCACAGATTCAGGTGTGAAGGGTTGCACAATGAAGCAAGCACAGACCCATGGTTATTAAGCAATGTAGAGTCACTTACTGAAACTGTTGTTTTAAAAATAATGGAATCCTGATTCAAAGAGATGGATGTTTGCTTTATATAAGCTCTCAGCTGATACCAGAATTCCTCAGATGTCTTATTGCAGCTCTTTATCAAGCATAGGAGAACATTTTTTTAAAAATATATTCATTCACAGATGTGGGCGTTGCTGTCAAGGCCAGCATTTAATGCCCATCCCAAATTGCCCAGAGGGCAGTTAAGAGTCAACTGCATTGCTGTGATAAACTCACTGCCCTCACTCCTGTTTAGAGAAGAATCAGAGAAACACTTTCATGACAGCACAATGCTAAACATGCCAAAATACTTCAATAATTATGAAATTTTCACTTTAAAAGCAAGTAAGATTTTGCACTGATATTGCAATCCATCATTTTTCTCAGATGCATTTCAAAGCATCTCAAAAATACTTGGACACAGTGAGGATTATTGAGGCAAACACTGATTGTTGTTTAGGGAAAACGCTGTGACAGTTATTTAGGGCAAGGTAGCAGGGGTCATTTAGGAAAACAAATGACGGTTAGTAACATTATGTAAGGAAATGTAGCAATGGTTATCTAGAGAAATTAACAGATGATTATTTCAGGAAATGTAGTGACAATTTTTAAGGGAAACAGTGGCCATTATTTAGAGTAATGTAGTGACAATTGTTTAGGGAAAAAGTAGTGATGGTTATTTGGAGAAATGCAACAATGTTACTGATGGTTACCTATGCAATCAATCATAGTGAATTATTTAGGGAAATGCAGCAACGTTTTTTTAGAATTCATTCATGAGATGAGGGCATCACTGCCTGCGTAAGCACTTATTATCAATCCCTAATTGCCCAGAGGGCAGTTCAGAGTCAACCACATTGCTGTGGGTCTGGAGTCACATGTAGAACAGACCAGCTAAGGATGGCAGATTTCCTCCCTTCAGGACATTAATGAGCCAGATGGGTTTTCCCTGACAATCGACAATGGTTTCATGATCATCATTAGACTCTTAATTCCAGATTTTTTTTTCTATTGAATTTAAATTCTACCATCTGCTTTGGTGGGATTTGAAACAGTGTCCCCAGAACATCAGCTGGGTTTCTGGATTAATAGTCTAGTGATAATACTACTAGGCTGCTGCCTGCCCTGGGATTTAGGGAAATGCAAGTTTTTTTTGGAAATGTAACAATGTTTACAGAAAACGCAGTGACGGTTGTTTATGGAAAACGCAGTGACGGTTGTTTACAGAAGTGGTAGGGAGTTTGAATGCATGATTTGCTAAATTCATGTGCTTCTAAGCAACCAAGATGATACCAGAATATTTTACCATGCTTCCAGTATTTTATGCCAAATAGGGTCTAAACATCACTTAGTTTCCACAAATCATGCATAATTCCATTCATCTGAATCAAGCTTCTCCAGATGCTCTACAGTTCAAGCTCTAGGCCGTACACAGTGGGTCCCCATACACCGACTGAACTCCGCAGAGTGCTGTGGTATTGTAATTTTATTGTTCCTAAGCTCCAATTTAGCTTAGTGGGGGCATGAAGTGCAAAGAGATTTTTTGCTCAGTAACAGTCAAAGGTTACAGCATGGTCATATTCCTGTTTTAGGGTTTGTGTGTCATTGGGATGCATGTCACTTTTCACAAAAAGGCTGAAATGCAATGGCTAGTGATTCATTCACACAAAACAACTGCAATGGCATCTGTGGAGACAGAAACAAGAGCTAATATTTCAGGTTAGTGACTTCCATTAGCTCCGATAGGAACAGACCTGAAACACAAACTCATTTTTCTCTCCACAGGTGCTGCCAGATCTGCAGAGTTGTAAATGTTTACTTCTGGTTTGATCGATAAACTATTAGATAGCTCAGAATAATTCAGGAATCTGCAATATGTATTAAAACCTGCTAATTGCAATGGAAACCCTCAGACACAGCAATATTCCATGATTCATTTGACAACTGTTACCATTTCACCAGAACTCGCTTTGCATCTTCAGCATACGTCTCTGCACAGAGAGATCTATTGTGACTCAATACAGGAACCTGGAGCCTATTTTCCTGCTGTCTGGCCAACAGACAATGGGACCAAAAGATGAGGCAAAAGGAGAGTATTATAAATTATTAAAATTGTGCTATGAATGATATAGACACACCACTCCCATCCTGTCTTCCACTTCGGACCACTAGGAAATGCAGTCATGCATCTTATCCAGGATTTCCAGATGCAAACAGTCCAATAAGGTTCAAAACATGTAAATTCAACAGCTGCATTCTGACGGTCTTCAAACTCAAAGATGGTAAAGGGGCACCAGAGAGTCCTGCTGCAGGTGACCGGATCAGCACTATCATAAATAGGTGTTTACTGAAAGAGTAACAGAAACTCCTGGGAGCCCTGCAATTAGGATCCTGTAGAATGCAGGCTTGGGACAGGGTAGAACTTGGAAATACGGCTCTGTGCAGAAGGATTGAGGCATTCAGATTCTCCGCTCATCTTGAAAAAGACTTCCTGCTCCTGCAGCTTGCGAGCAAATTCTTCCTCTAAAGCCTGAAATGGATTTCGGACAAAAAGTTAGTGAATCTCACAGAAGCACTGTTCACCAGCAAATATAGTCAAGGTACAAAGGAGGTACACTTGAATAAATTACAGACAAAAAGGAAATTATTTCAGTTTAAACTGACCATAGATTCCAAGCGATCTCAGTTTAGTTATTAACCACTTTGAGTATGCTTTCCACATTAAGGCATATAATTTATGACTACTAAGACAAAAGTAATGTTGTATTGTATTCAGATACACATCATCCTATTAATATAATACAATGGTCCAAGACACTCCACAGGAACATTACAAAATAAAATATGACCTAGGAAATATTAAGTCAGATGACCAAAAGTTTTGACAAAAAGGTAGGTTTTAAGGAACGTCATAAAAGAGGAAAGCAAGGTAGAGATATAGAGAGGTGTAGGCAGGAGATTCAAGAACTTGGGGCACAAGCAGCTTAAGGCAAGAGCACCAATGATGCAGCAATTACGGAGAAACATAGAAAATATTAGCACAAGTAGGTTCTTTGAACCTGCTCCGCCATTCAATACAATCATGGCTGATCATCCAAAGTACCCTGTTCCTGCTTTCTCCCCAGACCCTTTGATCTTTTAGCCCCAAGAACTGTACGTAACTCCTTCCTGAAAACAATTCAATGTTTTGGCATCAACCACTTTCTGTGGCAGAGAATTCTACATGCTCATCACTCTGGGTGAAGAAACTTCTCATTTCAGACTTAAACCCTATATCCTAGACTGTGACCCCTGGTTCTAGACTCCCAGTCTTCAGAAACATCCTTTGCATGTTTACCCTCTCTAGTCCTTATATATTCGTCTGTGAGATATGCACGTCACTGGCTGGCCAGTATTTACTGCCCATCACTAGTTGCCCTTGAGATTGTGGTGGTAAGCTGCCTTCTTGAACCACTGCAGTTCAACGTTTAACTGGTCAGACTTTGATATAAAAAGGGCAATATTTCTCTGATTGCCGGACAACTGCAGCTCCAGAGAATGTGAACTGGAAGAGGAAGTAGTTTTTATGACTGATAACCAAATGAGGGGAGTCCAAATCAATCCATGCACAATTGGAAGCGGCAGCCTTTACAAAACATTACTTTGCTTCAGGAGACCTGCATCATGGGTGCTCCTTTATCCCAGTTCTAGACAGAATCCTTTTCTTCTGGGATAGCATTTGTTCATACAAATTTTTGTAATTCTTGCTGCTCCCCAAAAATCAAAGCAAGAGGAACCTCTGCAATGCTTTGTGATGTTAAACAATCTTTGCATAATCAGAAGATTCCACACATTTCTCGATTTAGGTAGCATCTTGACTTAATATTTATTTTCTCCATAAATCATCCAGTCACTGAAGTCTTGAAGACACTGCATGCAATAACTGCTGTGAATATTTATCCCAAGATACTGAATTCACACATATTTGTTACTAGAACTGTCACACTGTTCCTTTTCTAGGAATAATGGGACTTCTATCAGATGTTTCCTTCTTTTGCAAAAATCTACTAAGCACCATTTATAATTCTCTCAATCGAGTGCTGTGATTTGTATTGCGTTTTAAGAGAATAAATTAAGTGGTCAACCTATAAAATGAAATAAATATTGAATGACTATCCCATCTGCATATTGGTGGAAAAGACAACTCAATGCAGCTATGGGTTGGTAAAGAGAAACCAGCTGATGTGGTTTACTTGGACTTCCAAAAAGTATCAGCAAGGTTTCACATTAAAGATTATAAGCTAAGAATTCAAGGAATTGGGGGCGATATCTAGCATGCATAGAGGATGTGCTGCCTATCAAGCATGTTGTTTTGTTGTAAATAGTGTAAAAGCTTCAAGTGTTGTTGGAGTTGCATCCATCCAGGCAAGTGGGGACTATTCCATCACACTTCTGGCACGTGACTTGTAGATGGTGGACAGGGTTTGGGTAATCAAGAGGTGAGTTACTCATCACAGCATTCCTAGCACCTGACCTGCTCTTGTAGCCAGTGTTTATGTGGTGATTCCAGTTGAGCTTCTAGTCAACGGCAACCCTAAGGATGTTGACAGTGGAGGGTTCAGTGATAGTAACACCATTGAATGTCAACAGGTGGTGGTTAGATTGTCTCTTATTGGTGATGGTCATTGCCTGGTATTTGTGTAGCATGAATGTTGCTTCCCATTTGTCAGCCCAAGCATGGATATTCTCTAGATCTTGTTGCATTTGAACATGGTCCATTTCAGTATGAGGAGTTGTGAATGGTGCTTAACATTGTGCAATCTTTGGCGAATATCTGCACTTCTGACCTTATGATGGAGGGAAGGTCATTGGTGAAGCAGCTGAAGATGGTTCAGCCTGGGACGCTACCCTGAGGAACTCCTGCAGAGATGTCCTGGAGCTGAGATGACTGACTTGCAACAAACATGACCATCTTCCTACGTGTCAGGTATGACTCCAAGCAGCAGAGAGTTTGCTCCTCCCCCATACCCAATGATTCCAGTTTTGCTAGGGCTCCTTGAGGCCACGTCAATCGAATGTGGCCTTGATGTCAAAGGCTGTCACTCTCACCTCACCTCTGGAATTCAGCTCTTTAGTCAGTGTTTGAAACAAGACTGTAATGAGGTTAGGAGCTGAGTGGCCTTGGGAGAATCCCAACTGGGCATCACTGTGCATACTACTGCTGAGCAGATGCTGCTTGATAGCACTGTTGATGACACCTTCCATCACTTTACTGATGGTCAAAAGTGGATTGATGGTGTGATAATTGGCCGAATTTGATTTGTCCTGCGATTCATGTACGGGATATAGCTGGGCATTTTCCACATTGTCAGATAGATGCCAGTGTTGTCACTGTACTTGAAGAACTTGTCTAGGGAGCGTCAAGTTCTAAAGCACAAGCCTTCAGTATTATTGCCTGAATATTGTCAAGGCCTATAGCCTTTGCGGTATCCAGTGCATCCAATCGTTTCTTGACATCGATGTAGATGGCACGATGTAGATGGCACAGTTAGTCAATCCTGCCACAACTCTGTTCCTAGGTCTTTGAAAAGTTGCTGGTGTTTTTTATTCTATAGGGCATTACTTGATATAGCCCTTTTGGGGTTACAAAACCAGAAGCTTCTTTCACTTTCTCTGGCAAAGGTACTTGCCAGTAACCACAAAGTAAGTCCAACTTTGTGATCTCAGTGGCTTGTCCTACATTTTCCACACAGTCCTTCAGCCTTGGAAGTGGGTACGAGTCAGATTTCGCCACGATGTTGACCTTCCAATAATCTACACAGAATCATTGAGTACCATCAGGTTTGGAAACCAACATGATCAGCAAACTCCACTCGCTTTGACTTGTCTCTATGATGTCTTTTTGGAGCATTGCTTCCACTTCCTTCTGAACATCTGCTGCTTTGAGAGGATTAAGCCTGTAGGGGGTGTTGTTTTATCAGATCAGCATTCTCTACACCAACCTCATGTACTACAGTATTAGTTCGCCCCATTCTATTTGTACATAGGTTGTCAAAGCAATGTAACAAATCTTTCAATTCAGTTCGCTGTTCCTAAGACAGATAGCACAGTACCCTATCCCATTCCTTAACAACTTCCTCATTATTCAATTTATTCTGAAGCACATCAAAATCTAAATCACCTGGATTTAATTCCTCATGCTGAGTGGCAGTAACTAATATCTCTTTCTCCAGTTCCCTTTCCCTGTCAAAATGTTTCTGCACATTCACATGACATACCTGATAACTTTTTTTGCCTATCTGGCATTTTTACTAGATAATTCATCTGACTTAACTTCTTCCTAATTTGATAGGAACCAATACATCTTGCTTTAGAAGGGTTCTCCTACCACTGGTAACAGCATCAATATTTTATCTCCACAGGCAAATGTACAAATTTTAGATTTCTTATCTGCTGCTTGTTTCATTAGGTACTGTGTCACCTTCGAATGTTGTCTAGCTGATTCGCCTACTCGGCTTAATTTTTCTCTCACCTCAGATAAATTATCCAATTGAGAGATGTCCGATTCAGACCTATCAATTTTTCCTTACTTAATGTTAAAGGCCCTCTTACTTTGTGTCCAAATATTCAAATAGAGTGAACTCAGTCGATTCATTTGGAGCATCTCTAATGGAAATGGGATTCCTTTATCCCAATCATTTGGGTAATCTTGGCAAGAAGCCCTCAACATTGAAAATATGGCATCAGACCCTATAGACATTGCTCCCTGGGATTCAGGATGGTGCGGACTGATTGAAAGTGTTTGATGCCTAAACTATCCGTGACCTCCTCAAATAATTTAGCAGTAAAATTGGACTGTTGGTCTGACTGAATCTCCCTGGGTATTCCAAAATGGGTAAAGAAAGCAAGTAACTCCTCCACAACCTTTTTTGCCTTGACAGTCTGTAATGGAATTGCCTCTGGAAACCTGGTAGACACGTCCATTATGGTTAGCAAATACTAGTTCCAACTTTTGCTTTTAGGGAGGGGGCCTACACACAATCAATTATAACCCACATGAAAGGTTCTTCAAATGTGGGAATTGGCATCAAAGGCGCTGGTTTTATCACTGCCTGTGGCTTTCCCACCATCTGACACGTATGACAGGTACGGCAAAATTCAACCACATCTTTATGTAATCCAGGCCAATAGAAATGCTTCTGTATCTTAGCTCGAGTCTTCCTTGCTCCTAGATAACCTCCTGTCAGTGATTCGTGTGCTACCCGCAATACTTACTGTCTGTACCTACCAGCAATACAATCTGGTGAACTTCCTCCCATTTCTCATCTGCACTAACCTACCAAGGTCTCCATTTCCGCATCAAGATTTTATTCTTAAGGTAATAGGATTCTGGAATAAATTCTGATTCCTTTTCCGAGTAGGCTTTACGATACAAATTCTTTATCGTCTCATCGTTTTATTGTAACTCCATTAATCTTTCAGAACTAAACACCTCTGCCCGATCCTCTACCTGCTTAGGTTTGTTCCTTTACCATCTCATCAATCATAGTG